AAAAGAACACTGAACGCTAGACTTTGAAACAATCTGGTGCATGAGTCCCATGAGGTCACGCCGAGCGAGTGGATAACCCTCAAAACCGAGCCCACCGCGACATTCGCCGATCCTTTAAATTTCTCTACCGCTGGCTGGAAGGAACATGACTTGTGAAAAGGAACTCCCAGATAGATATATTCATCCACTACTTCAATAAGGTCATCTCCATATTTAAACGATTTAAATTTTTTTGCCTTGGAATTACCCGATTTTGTGAATATAACAATCTTTGTTTTCCCGCTGTTAACAGTGAGTTTGTTCGCTGTGCAATACGAATGGAGTGCCTTTAATTTTTTACTAAGTTCAGTTGGCGTATCGGCCAGGAGAACATAATCATCCGCATATCCTAACATGAGGATATCCGTCTCTTTATCGATCGATATTCCCCTACATCCTTGTTGTAAAAAATATTCCTCCATATCCGAAATAAATAGCAAAAATAACAAAGGACTCAGAACTTCACCCTGCAATAACCCTCTTGTAACTCTGACACTTTCCGTAGATCCATCGCTAGTTCTTATATTAGTATACGCATTCTCATAAAAATCTCTGATAACATTCACACATTTAGAACTCAGTCCCAGCTCAAATAATTTTTTCCACAGTAAATCGTGAGATACTGAGGGAAAAGCCCCCTTGAAATCGATAAAGCACGCGTAAACTACCGCCCCAGAATTTCTCAGGTGAATTTGAATAACAGAGGAAAGTGTAAATAGGTTATCAAGGCAACTTTTACCCTTTCGAAATCCCGCCTGAGATTCCGGGATCAATTTTAAAGAATCTGCCCATTTTTCAATTCTTGAACGAATAATTTGTGTGAAAATTTTTGCTGTGCAATTTATTAAAGTTATGGGTCTATAATTATTTGGGTCGTTAAAATTCCCTTTCTTATAAAACATAGATGTTGTGAGATTACCCCATTCTTTAGGGATCTTTTCTGTAAAAAATATTTTATTAAAAAAATGATACAAGAAAAATAGCCAATTTTCCGGCAAATTTTTTAAGAAGCTATAATTAATTCCGTCTAATCCAGGGGCTTTTCCGCTCTTACAGTTAGATATGCTGTCAATAATCTCTTCCATCGCAATACAATCGTCGAGGCTAAGATTCTCTCCATGTGTCAACAGCAACGGTGTGCTGTTGTTTTCAATTTGCGCAGGGAAGGTGCTAACCAGAAATTCATGCCAAGTGTCAACATCAATAGGGGACCGTTGAAATGCGTGCGCGCGATACCCATTGATAACTCTCCAGAACTGAGAAGAGTCTCGGCAGTTATTTACTGCTTTGACTCGGTTTGATTCATAATTTGCTTTTTTTGTTTTCATCATTTTTAAATAGAAATTTTTTTCTTTAAAGTAATTATCTTTATTCAAATTTGAGAAACCCTCAGATCTGCAGAGAGAGAGGGCAGATGAGACACGCCTTCTCGCATTCCGACATTCAATGTCGATCCAAGGCTTATTTTTCAATTTTTTGTTTACATTATAGTACACTGACATTCCCAATTCAATTGCTGTTTCCCTAATCGTAGCGACCAAAATAAAATTAAGCTCATCGACATCACTGTCCACCCTGGACACCTCCTCCCTTGTGCCCATATTTGTGGTAAATAAATTAGATTTTTCAATGTCAAATTTTAGTTTTAAATTATTATTATTATTTTTTATTTCTTTTTTATATGTTATACCTGAAATATAAAGAGCAATTGGGAAATGATCAGAGGAGGTGGCCAACTGTAGGACTTTCAAATGCGTAATTAGAGGCAGTGCACTCATTGAAGACCACACAAGGTCAATTACGCTTGTCCCTATTGTGTTACAGAAAGTATAGTTAGCCGGTGAATCGCTTAAGGTTCTGCCATTTATAAGAATGAATTCGTTACTCTCGAAATTCTCAACGATCCTATTGCCTCTGCTATTTAATTTGGTATCAAGAGAAGATCGTTCATTACTTAACAAATTATTAGACATGAAAAATTCTGAGCCCAACTGATTTAAACTAGCTACCCTGCCATTCATATCCCCCCCTATAATTATTGGAACATTCGGCAATTCAATACATAGATTATTCCGCGAAGTATTAAGCTCATCCAAAAAATTAGCCAAATCTTCGCCTGGGGCTGCATATACAAGGCCAATAATAAGAAAGATGTGGTCTCTCGTGGATTTTACCTTTACGAACAGCTGGTTATGACTGGAAGATATTACCGCCATTGAGTACTGCTGTGGGTCGAAGGTGACAAGAAGGCCTCCCTTTGCCCTGCCATGGTTGTGGGATCTTGTGGCTGGAACTTGAATATAATCCAACGGGCTTTCCTCCAGGATTTTAATTTTTTCGGTTTCGTTCCACGTTTCGTTGATACAGGTTATACTCCCCGATTCGATGATATCCCTGATGTCGGCAATATTTCGGAGTCCATGCGCATTCCAAAATATAATTTTTCTCTCCTCGGTACTCACATTGGAAAAAAAGCTAGTGCTTGGACCGCGGTTGAAATTTGTTGTTTGGAATGTTTTCCTTTGTCATTGTGCACCACTGGTGCCCGGATCCTTGTCGCTTGTATCTAGTTCAGTTTGAGGTTCTGACAAAGGCGAGTTAAGTGCTTTACTAGATAAAAATTTTTTCATCAAGTTAGTGTTGTGAGTATCCTTATCACCCATCTGAAACTTTGGAGGGCGTCCAGGTCCATTTTTGATTTTCTTTGGAGAGTTCAATTGGTTAGCGAGTAATTTTCTCTTTTGTAAACTCCCTCTCAAGTTGTTATCATTCACATTAGTTTGAATTAAGTTTGATTGTTGCTGCCCTGTCTCTTGAGGGCCAGTAGGTACTTCCTCTGTGTGTTTAATATTGGACTGTTTGTTTTGATCTTCCGTGAGTGGGGTAGAGCGTGTTTTCCTCGTTGACAATAACTGTCGTCGCTTCTCTCTCTCTTCTGGCGTTCTATCATTTGAAATCGCTAAGTTAAGGTTTCCGAATTCTCTCACCTTTGTAAAGGCGTGTTTCACCCACCTCTCAGCGATAAATTTAATTAACACCGGCCTATCATTGTTTGATTTCCCGAGACGAAATGCATCTGCGATGGCTAAATCCGGGATATCAAGATTCAGCTCCGTGAAAATGTTTCTGATAGATCCAATCAAGTGCTTGTTTATGTCATCGGAGTCTTCAAGTCTGTAGAGAATAATATTCCTGGCTCTTTGTGATTTGTCGTATCTTGCCTCTCTATTCTCCATGACAGCGAGTTTTCCTTCATTGATGTCGATTTTCTCTCTCATTGTTTCCAGAAGGCTGTTGGTAGATTGAAGCCTATCGCCTAAGACTGAGTGAGACGAGGACACTTTGCTCGTCAGGTCTTGGATCGAAGCAAACAGTTGTTCCCATCTTTTTTCATCGGACGTCGACATTTTTCACAGAATAAAACACAAATAATGTTACAAACCTAGACACTACACAACACAAAGTATTACTCCTTATATGCACTGTTCATTCACAAGGGCAATTTTGGGAAGCAAAAGTTCATTAATAAGTGAGCACAGCCAGTATATAATCATACAAAGCGACAAATAAGGAGAGCCGTTAGTAAACACAACCGTACTCGACAAAGGCTCAAGCGAGACTCCTAGAAAAATATATATATATTTATAAATAATTATTTTGCCTCTTTTTTTTGTTCAGAGGGGTTATCTTCTGGATAAGTTAATGAAAAAGCATTGGGATGCTTTTCTTGAAGGTGTCGCTTTATCCCGGTCGTGTTGCTATTTTTCATTCGAATTATTTCCATTTTACATCCATCTTCCATAAAGTATTCAAAAGAATTTTCCAAGGGCAAAGCATCGTGTTTCCGTCTTTTACATTTAAAGGTGCTTTTCGCACTAAATGAATATATGATCAATGTAAACTTCATATTTTTTATATTTGAAAATGGTGACAATCAGTCACCTATTTTCCAATGAAAAATGTAAATTATAAATTGTCAAAAAATTTATTTAAATTGAAATAGGTTAATAAATTACTTTTTGTAAACTTCCTTTGCTTGCTCATTATCTACATTTATTTCATCGTATTTCCTTTTATTGTTTTCAATTTGATTTGTATCTTCGGACATTTTGCTTGACACAAATTTATATTATTTGTATTTGTATCTGGGAAAGCTAATGAAATAGAAATAATTCTATAATGTTTGATCGATGTTTCAAAACCACATTCAAACGATTAAAGTCAATCAAAAACAAAAGAAAATCACATTTCTTGGCTTGACAAAATATATCAATAATCAAGTATAAACAATCGATATCGAGCATTTATCGGCTTGACATGCAACACTACCTTTGCCCAACAGGAACGAATGCTCGAATTTGTAGAGGAATATCCTCCAATGATGACAAAAAAATTTGATGCAAATTTTAGTGCAATACAGTACAAAAAACAGTGGAATGACGCCACTTAACTTTTGAATGCTGAAAATAATCATTTAAATGCTCGCACAGAAAAGAAATGGCAGAAGGTAAAATGTTTATAATATTTATTGTTTATTTATTTATTATACTTTTGTTTGCTACATAAACAACATTAATTAACTTCGATATAGATTTCGATTTCTTAAATTTTTACCAAACATAAAGCTTGCACTAAAGAACATTTTCTAAAAATTTTGGGAATACTTTAACTAAATTGAATTTCTAAAATATAAAGCTGAGAGAAATATTTTCAGGAATAAATTGTTATTGAATTTTTATTTTAAAAAATTATTTTAAGCAAATTCATTTTTCTTTATTGAGATACTGTTAAATTTTTTTGTTTATTACATGTTTCTAAAGAACACAAAAAGAAATATGTCATCTAATTTATCATGTAAATATAATTTTACCGAGAAATCGCTTACATACATTTTTTAAGTGTACTTTCAAATATTTTTTATTTCAATTTAAAGTTATGTCAAAAACTATAAATATTATGAAATGCAAATTTGGTGTCTCATTGAAGTAGTTTTTATATTAAGTTTTGATTTTTATTTTTCTCTTGAATAGGTTTTAGCTTCGTGGTTATCAAAGATCAAATCCAAGCCAAGTGATACTCTGAATGTGTTAGAGAAAAGATTTCTTGCAGTCGCCAATAATCAAGGACAACTTGGCAAGGTAGTAAACGTTACGATTCCTTTTGCGCAAAGAGTGAAATCTTTGGACAATGTGGTTGCGGAAATCGATTCAAAATCACCAAAGGTGCAGGAACAGAAAATTTACATTTCATCAGATGAAGACGAGGATGAAATCGATTTTGAAAACATTCCGTTAATGGAAGTGAAGGTCTGAAATTTTATTGCCATTTTTAAAGTTATTTATGTTTTGTAAAATCAACTTAACTTTTATATTAAAAAATTTTTTTTGCGACTAAAAATAAGAAACAAAAAATATGACTATCAAATTTTTACGTAATTGTGAGCAATAAACTATTTATGTATATAATTAAAATTAAAAATAATGAATTTTTTACTGTTATTTTACTTCTTGATAAAAATTAAACTACATACACTACCGTCCGAAATTGTGCGAACTCTGCTTTTTCAACAACTATAAAACTGTTCAAATCTTCAAAAATATTAAAACTAAAATTTTTTCCTCTTTATTTTATTAAAGTTAATAAAATTCTGAAAGAAATGACACCTTGACAAAGAGAATATGTTAATTTTTCAATTAGATATCTAAGAAAAACCCAATTTTTAATGTTTTTACTATTTTTTTTATTTCTCTGGCAAAAATTAATATTTTTAAACGTTCTTAGGCTCATTGAAATCGTATTTTGTTATGCAATTCAAATTATATAAAACAATTCATGTACACATTCCTCCCTAGCGTATGCAAACCGTGAAAGTTGGCTCATAAAATGTCAAAAAATTGTGATTAATATTTATATGACAAAAAATGATCAGTAAAATGTATAAATCTTAAATTTACTTACATAAATCAGAGAAGTTTAGAATGATATATTTACTTGATTTTTAAACATTATATTTTATTGTAGAATTAAATTTAAATTTTTTGACATTTTATGAGCCAAATTTCACAGTTTGCATACGCTAGGGATGAATGTGTACATGAATTGTTTTATATAATTTGAATTGCATAACAAAATACGATTTCAATGAGCCTAAGAACGTTTAAAAATATTAATTTTTGCCAGAGAAATAAAAAAAATAGTAAAAACATTAAAAATTGGGTTTTTCTTAGATATCTAATTGAAAAATTAACATATTCTCTTTGTCAAGGTGTCATTTCTTTCAGAATTTTATTAGCTTTAATAAAATAAAGAGGAAAAAATTTTAGTTTTAATATTTTTGAAGATTTGAACAGTTTTATAGTTGTTGAAAAAGAAGAGTTCGCACAATTTCGGACGGTACTGTACGATCAATTATTATTGGGAAACATATATAAGCAAATATAAGGTGTCAATGAAAACATTGAGAAATTATCAAAAAAGTTTACATTTTATTTAATATTTTAGAACTTAAAGTTTTACTTAGAAAAAATCCTTAGCTATTACATTTGGTTTTACTTTTCTATTTTAATATTCTATACTAGGGTCATTTGGGGTAAGATATTTCAACTAAATTTACAAATTTAAAAATACGTACGACTTCAATATTTTTACCTAAGCTCACCTACAAGATGTTCTGAATATTGCCAACATTTTATTTTGACAATTGTCAATGCCATAGTGTAGGTTATCTTATAATGCAAAAAAGATTAAAAATCAAAGTTTTACTGTTTCAGTATTTTGTCTCGTATTTGCATAAAAATAAATTGAAAAATCAAACTAAAATTGCTAATTCTTCCTTATTAATGCCTTACCAAAAATTGACTTTGATTTTTCATTTTCATCAATTTAGTTAATAAATAATTAAGTGTTTACATTTACCCCGAAAATTTGAAAACTCGGGGTAAATGTAAACAGAACTTGAATTACATTTCAAAAAGTATAATTGAACAAACTTGCTTCTATTTGACAACTACACTATTTTCCCAGTGTAAAAATACATTGAAGAAGGTGTGTTTAACCCTTTTTGTCACAGTGCGATCAATATCAATATCAATACCTCATATCATCTTTCGATATGACCGAAAATATTAAAAATGCATCAGATTTGCATGGAATTTGTTAGTTTGGGGTTTTTGGGTTCGCTGATCACGAATATGATGTCAGATTTGCAAAACTTAAAATTTCTAATCCAATATGGCGGACAAAAATTTAAAAAATCATCATTTTTAATTATTTGACCGCTATATTGGATACAAAATTTTGGATTTTAAAAACCTGATTTCGGATTCTCATTCAACAACCCCTAAAACTCTATTTTACCAAGTTTCATGAAAATCCATTGAAATTTGTTGAAGTTATTAAAGTTTTTACATTACTACTTTTGGCATGGTTGACTTTTCATATTATATGATGCATATCAATTAATTGGTTGAATTATTTTACATCTACCAAAAATTTTTTATCAGTTTTTCCATCCATTAATACAGTAAAATACTTGAGATAACATTTTTCTGAAACTTCTTTTAACTACAGTGGTGTTTACATTTACCCCGAATTTTAGGAAAGTTTCCAAATCTCGGGGTAAATGTAAACAGTCAGTTTTAGGTGATTCAAATTCATCAGTATTTTGTGGTACTTCATAAAATTTTTCTAGGGAAGTGAAGTAACAAGTTTATGCAAAAGAAAACCGACAGTTTTACCTTTTAACGAAAAAAACTTACGTTTTTGGTGAAAAATAGATATTCCGTTTACATTTACCCCAATTGACCCTATATCATAATTTCAAATATTCGAAAACGTAAAAAAATTTGCAACACTTAAATTGACACATAAATTTTGATATGTTAATTATATTTGTTGTTCTTATAAATAAGACTAAATTTTATTAACAGAAGTTATGTGTTTTCCTTTTGTGTTTTATTGGCATAGGACGTTCCAAATCAAAATAACTTGCTTGCTACTACAAAAAGAAAGCAGACAGTAGGCGATGCAGATGAACCGCCAATCAAGAAATCATTTGATACTGCTGCATTATTATGTCATGTCACCGTAACATTTTTATGTAAAATTAATTTTTTAAAATAAAATACATTTGTAAATAAATAATTGTTTTTAAATAAACAAATATTTGTAAATAAACAATTATTTATAAATAAACAATTATTTATGAATAAACAATTATTTATAAATAAAACGAATATCTGGGATTAAATCAATTATTTATAAATATTAAATATATAATAAAATAATAATGTAATAAGCATAATTAATGTTAAAATGACCAATATATAAAAATTGTAATTTGGGATATGGTGTTCTTGACATTTTGTACTATTAGAATATGGAAATCAACATACGGAAGTCACCAACACATAGAAGAAAAGCAATAAACACTTTTCACGTCTGTGAGGTACCGATCTTGAAACTAACCCAAAGAGGCGAGCTGGTACCGCCGCGAAGAATACATAGGAAAATATATCTATATAAAGGGAGACCTTTCACTTCAAAGGCAGTCCCAAAATTTATACGTACGGCTTTCATCGTTGCGAGTATCTAATACAGTTTTAAAGTGTCGTCATAGTAAATCAGTTAAAAAGTTTCTAGTGTCAATACAGTAATAAAAATCTTAACGACCAAGAAGATACAATCTTAGGAAATCAATACCACAGGTGCCGATTGAAGAATCATCAAAATAAAATATTAAAAGGTAACCATAACAAATTCTTTAATTGTACAAATTGTCATAAACATTTATATTCTTTTAAATAAATAATTTTTATATAATAGATCATTAATTTATTAAAAACCTCTTCCCAACTTAGTTATTTTAACTAAGTTAAATTGACGAAATTAGAATAGGGAACAATTATAAGTTTAGACTAGATAAAAAATAATATTTATGATATAACAATTACAAAAATTAAAAACTTCTTCAAACTCTGCAGTATATATAATGGAAAAACATTTTAATTTTAAAAGGGCAAAATGTTAAGAAATTAAAGTTCATAAGTTTTTAAAAGTTAATAAATCCGTATACTTTTTTCAAGAAATTTAAACAAACGTTACTCAGCACATAACTACAAAGCAATAAATTTAATTAAGGTCATAAATGTTTAATTATTTATATACTTAATATATTTATATACTTTATATACTTCTTTGGATTTAAGACGTTTTGTTTTTAATTAAAGTCTATTATACTAAGGGTATTTGAAAGTTTTGATAATTTTTTCTAATAAAAAGAATTAAACATAATGGAGGTTAAAGTACAAATCCAAATGTATGTAAATTAAAAATGCTTTGTCAATAAAATTATTTTTTAAATTTAACATTTCATTATTGCACAATATAGGTTGCTTCTAAGAAACTAGGAGATAACGTGGCACAAATGCACAACGAAACCATTGCGGAATTAAAGAAAATATCTGAAGGTGTACATGAAAAGCAGAAAAAAAATTTGAATGAATTTTCTCCATTCTTTCATTTTTATTAGAAATAAGTTCTTACTAGTTTAAATAGTGGATACTCATGTACAATGAATGTGAATATTCAAGCAGGAATTAAAGAATAATTTATAATTAGTATAATCATGAGTTATATATTTGCGTCCAATAAGCATGAAAATAGTTCCGCGGGAGTTTTTAAGATCGCTGATTACGGATCCGAGGTTTTTTTCAAAATTTAAAATGGCGGATCCAATATAACGGACAAAAGAAAAATAAAAGAAAAATATATATGGAACGTAAAATCCTATGACTACCTCCTCGTGGCACATTAACCCGCAGATAACAAAAGTGCGATTACATTTTGATCGCATTTCGTGAGTCTCATAAATGTATGCAAAAGCACTATATCTATGCGACGCTTCATGTGCGATCGCATCCGTGCTAGTAAAAATTAATGTTTAAATCTTCACGTGTGCGATCTCATAAAATGCGGGTAAAATGCACTTTCAAAGGTGTGCAAATTAGTAACTTATAATTTAAATAGATTAAAAAATTTTATTTTAACATTATTATAACTTTAAAAATGCAAATTTGAATAATTTAAGATTTTTAAAAGTTTATTAAAAAGTTAAATTAAAATAAATGTTTTTAAAATTTGTGGTTTTTCAAAATTAAAAAACATTTACATTCAAATACTAATTAAGTATTTATTTTTAACCGTATTTTACGAGGAATATCCTGCACATGTATTAACCTACGCGTTGGAAATTTGGATATCTTAGAGATATTCCTGTGCTACAATTCAATATTTTCATTCATTTTAGAAAAAAAGGTTATTCCACTTATTTATGTCTATTTGATTAATAAATAAATTTTTCTAACCTCAAAAAGTGTACTTGCATGTAGATCGCACTTGACTCACATGCGTGAGATCGCACGCGAGAGACGCATATATGCTCCTCCATGGATGACGCATCGGCATGTGACTATGAGATCACACGTGGGAACTGATTCGCATCCCTATTGAAAATCCCCACATGGGAAACCACATGGGAAACCACATGGGATCCTATGTCAAAAACTATGTAAAACCCCATTCCCCATATGGGAAACCACATGGGATCCCATATAAAAACTCATGGGAAATTGGGACAGGAATTGGCATAGGTAAATATCAAAACGAGGTTCCTCCATGTCATTTCCTATGTCAAATCCCATGTCAAATATCATGTTAAATACCATGTTAAATACTAATTGAGATCCTTTATCACTTTTTTGAAAAATTTTCCCATGTCAAACCCCATGTCATTTCCCAAGTAAAAACCTTTATCATTTTTTTGAAAAATTTTCCCATGTCATTTCCCATGTGAAATCTTTTATCATTTTTTTGAAAAATTTTCCCATGTCAAATCCTCTTTCGCCTTATCGAAAATACCCACATAGGAAAGCATATGGGAATCCACATGGGACACCATATGGGAATCCACATGGGAAATGGAATACGATTTCATGTGCATTCTTCCAAATGATAAAACAAATAGATTTAAGCATAGGAAATCATATAAGATTTCATATAGATTCTGAAATTTCAACCTAAGATTTCACAAGGATTTACATATAGGAAACGATATAGGATTTTATTCGGGAATTTTTTAGTTGGCTGCTTTATGCAGGCGGCAGTTTACAAAAAAAATTAATTATTTGATTAAATATCAAATAATAATACTTCAACTCATCTGAAAATAAAAAAAAGTTTACTTTACTTCTGCCTTAGACTCTCAGCTTTTATAGTATTCCAGACTGATCTCAACTGTGAGAGAAAATATTTTCACCATCTGGTGGTGAAACAATGAAACTATAATGACGCTCAACATCTATATTGAAATTTCCTATGTCATTTCCCATGTGAAATCTTATCATTTTTTCGAAAAATTTTCCCATGTCATTTCCCATGTGAATTCCTTTATCATTTTTTTCAAAAAATTTTCCCATGTCATTTCCCATGGGAAATCCTTCATCATTTTTTTGACAAATTTTCCAATGACAAATCCTCTTTCGCCCTATCGAAAATACCCACATGGGAAAGCATATGGGAATCCACAGAGGAAATGGAATACGATAAAGGATTTCACATGGCAAATGACATGAGGTTTGACGTGGGAATTGATATGGGAAAATTTTTCGAAAAAATGATAAGATTTCACATGGGAAATGACATAGGAAATTTCAATATAGATGTTGAGCGTCATTATAGTTTCATTGTTTCACCACCAGATGGTGAAAATATTTTCTCTCACAGTTGAGATCAGTCTGGAATACTATAAAAGCTGAGAGTCTAAGGCAGAAGTAAAGTAAACTTTTTTTTATTTTCAGATGAGTTGAAGTATTATTATTTGATATTTAATCAAATAATTAATTTTTTTTGTAAACTGCCGCCTGCATAAAGCAGCCAACTAAAAAATTCCCGAATAAAATCCTATATCGTTTCCTATATGTAAATCCTTGTGAAATCTTAGGTTGAAATTTCAGAATCTATATGAAATCTTATATGATTTCCTATGCTTAAATCTATTTGTTTTATCATTTGGAAGAATGCACATGAAATCGTATTCCATTTCCCATGTGGATTCCCATATGGTGTCCCATGTGGATTCCCATATGCTTTCCTATGTGGGTATTTTCGATAAGGCGAAAGAGGATTTGACATGGGAAAATTTTTCAAAAAAATGATAAAAGATTTCACATGGGAAATGACATGGGAAAATTTTTCAAAAAAATGATAAAGGTTTTTACTTGGGAAATGACATGGGGTTTGACATGGGAAAATTTTTCAAAAAAGTGATAAAGGATCTCAATTAGTATGTAACATGGTATTTAACATGATATTTGACATGGGATTTGACATAGGAAATGACATGGAGGAACCTCGTTTTGATATTTTCCTATGCCAATTCCTGTCCCAATTTCCCATGAGTTTTTATATGGGATCCCATGTGGTTTCCCATATGGGGAATGGGGTTTTACATAGTTTTTGACATAGGATCCCATGTGGTTTCCCATGTGGTTTCCCATGTGGGGATTTTCAATAGGGATGTATGCGGCTATTAAAACTATCACTATGTAAGCATTTTGTTATCTGGTTTCTACAACAATGAATTTTAAAAATTCAATAAAATATAAAATACTAATTCACCAGCTAATGTCAGGGTATTTAACTAAATTTGATTACATCAAACGTTTTTCTACAACTACGATAAGCAGTCTTTCAATAATAATTATCATATTAAATCATCCATTTAGAATTTTATGAAAATAATGTCAGATTTGTAATCAGGGACTTTCAAAACTATCGAGTAATGAGTTTCAAGAGAATCCAATCAATTTTGAAAAATTTCTGGCATATTGAAAGAAATTGTCAGAAAAAACATTTTGAATTTTTAAAAATGGACCTCGGATTTAGAATCAGCGACCCTTAAAATCCCCGAGTAACGATTTTCAAGCAAATTGGATCAACTTTGGGAGCGTTCACAAAAGATGTCACGCAATTTTTCGAGATTTCTTACCCCTACCCCCCTCCTGTCACGCTCTGTCACATACAAGTAAACCCATACCCCGTCAATGGACGTCACATTTCATGACTCCCCCCCTAATTTTTTATTTTAATTTTTTTAGGGGTAATAAAAAAAATTAATATTTAATACAATGTATTACCATTTAAGCCATTTTTATTTTTCAGTTAACAATCTTTAAAAAAGTGATATCACACTTAAGATGACCCCCGCCTTCCCATGTCACATTTTGTCACGTTTGGTGAAGACCCCCTTCCCAGAGCGTGACATCATTTGTGATTTCTCCCTTTTAAAAAAATCGTCCGCCGTATTGAGTCAACCATTTTGAATTTTGCAAAACGGACCTCGTATTCGTAATCAGCAACTCAGAAATCCCCAAGTGACAAGTTTTAATCAAATTCAAAAAATTAAAAAAATTTTTTTGCCATATTGGATCCGCCATATTGAATTTTGCAAAACGGACCTCGTATTCGTAATCAGCAACTCGAAAATCCCCCAAGTGACAAGTTTTAATCAAATTCAATAAATTTAAAAAATTTTTTGCCCCATTGGATCCGTTATTTTGAATTTTGAAAAACGGACCTAAAATTCGTAATCAGCGCACCCGAAAACCCCCGAGTAACGATTTTCAAGCTAAATGCATTAAATTTTCAAAAACTCGTCTGCTATATTGGATCCGCCATTTAAAATTTTAAAAATATAAGAGAAGCAGGCGCATAGCGCCTCCATCACAGGGTTTCGCGGCTTATTTTACAATTTAAAAAAAACGAACAATCATCTCCATGCTTAACATAAACATTTATTTTGAACCACCTCCATGACAACGTTGCTATGGTAACCGTTTCCATAGCAATCGTTGCTAGGGTAATCAACAACACTAGTAGATCCCAACAGGTAGTTGTTGGGTGTCGACGAGTCTTATGTCTCAATTAAGTCTCAATTGAGAGAAGTCTCAAGCCTCAATTGCGACAAGTCTCATGTCTCAATTGAGAGAAGTCTCAAGCCTCAATTGCGACAAGTCTCATGTCTCAATTGAAAACAAGTCTCATGTCTCATTTGAGACTTGATATCTTGACTAATATCAAATTCGTGATCAGTGACCCAGAAAACCCCTGAGTAACCAATTTCAGTTATTTTTAAAGAGTTTGGAATGACTTAAATGTTGCGCATATATGCTTCGGCGACATTCCTGGGGTTAAATTTTGAAAAACTGACTTTAAATTCGTAATCAGCGACCCCAAAAACCCTTCAATACCAAGTTTCATGAAAATTCATAAAAAATTTTTTAAAAATCTTTTGGCCCAAACAGTAAAACGCCTTTTTAACAGGCAAGGGGTTAACCACTTTATTTTAACCCTGTTATAACCCTTGGAAACATTGTAAACAATTTTTACCGCTATCTTAAATAATTATGGTAACGAAAACTAAAAAAAATTTGATTTTTTGAAAAAAACTCAGTCTATTCTCCTCTTAAGTGAATTTGTGTTATAGCTAGTGACTTAGCGCTACGCTCCGAAGCGATTACACCCTAGCGATTTGTAACAAAAGATTTTCCAATTCGCTAACTCATAGCGCCGATTGACATTGTTTTTTATCTTACACGCCACTAATTAATTTTTTTAACAAAATTCAAACGGGAGTTGATCTTGATTATCATATACAATAAGTCTGTAAAAAAATTAATTTTTTAGTGCTAATTAATGCAATGCGCTACTTAGCGCAGTTGCTAAAAGGAATCCCATAGCTGGATGTCAACTGTGTGGCGAAGCGACTGAGGAAACGTAAAAGGAAATCGGACAATAATCCTCCTGGCGGAAAGGAAGAAAGTTCATCATTTGAAGAAAATTTCCTGACAGTGATTACGAAGAAAGTTCGGATCCCCCAGTATTTCGATCAAGCAGTAGCGCCTTTCCCAACCTCCCACCTAATATTGTGAAAACAAACAACCCCACTCCCGAAAACGTCACAAAACCAGTTTCACCCCCAAATCCATCGAAACCCCCGTTGTTAGACTCATACACAAACGTTTATGTGGATGGTGCGTGTTGTGACAATGGCGGTGTACGACCCCCCGCAGGTATAGGAGTTTGGTTCGGCCCAGATCACCCACTCAACATATTCCGAAGATATAGGGGAAGACAAACAAACAATGCGTCAGAGATCGAGGCAACCACCACGGCCGTCCGACAAGCAAAGAAAGGTGGCATAAACAAATTAAGAATTAAAACTGACTCAAAAGTTGTCGTACAAGGAATAACAGAATCAGTTCCAAAATGGCTAACCAATAATTGGAAAACAAATGACAACAGACCTGTAAAGAATCAAAGAGTATACGAGAAATTAATCAATGCATTAAAACACATGGACGTCATCTGGAAACATGTTCCTGAACACGAAGGAATCGATGGGAATGAAAATGCAGACAGATTAGCCAGGGAAGGTGCCCTTATGGAACCGGAATCATGAAAAATCGTTCTGATCAGATCAACCAAACTCTAACATGGGATCATGAAGGGATGGATAGAACCTCTAAGAAAAAGGTCTATGTTTTTGATAGAAACAGTGACTATGAATATTTGGAGTATCTAAAAACCCTGGACCCATGTGAAGAGAATGACGATAGACAATCCGAGGAAAGACTAAAAAAATTTTTAGAACTCGACAAGAGCCGCGTCGAAAATCAGGAAAGTGTGAAACCCTCTCCACCGGAACTTGAACTTCTCCCCACCACTACAATGGGTACCCTACTGGATACTATGCAATCCCTCCCCTACGCGAAAAAGGGGTAGAGTCCGCTTTAACGACACACCCGACATTTTTAAAACCCCCAACATCGACCGTAACCTTGCCGCAAGTTTGCCATCATTCACTCCTGGTCAGTTCACAATCCCTGAAGCACACTCCACTCATTTTTTAAGATTTTCGGACTACAAAAAGGAGAGACGAGAGGAAAAAGTGCAAAGAAAAACGCAAATCACACCCCGTAGATTAACTCCTACAAGTGGGATCGGAAGTACGGCAAAAAGGAATCTATTGATGGACCTAAATCTTCACTATTGTGATTCTCCCTCCTTCCTTGAATCTTGAGACAACGAGGAAGATACCCTTAAAAGTCGTGCTCATTTTAACCCACCAAACATTTTACATCAATGGACAGAACCTTTGACTTATAAACGAGACAACTAAGCTCATTTTATTTCCGAGGACTGTAAACCCATTGACCCCATTGTGAAACTTTTGGTTGCAACAGAAAAGATTGACTTACAGGACAGCAGGGACAGCAAACCAATCAAAGGCATAGTGATATAAGAATAGAGTGCGCAAGCCTGTACAATTTCCATGTTACGCTGCGATAAATCAATAGAAGAAGACAGATGCAACTAGTGGGCCCTGCCTTCCTTCTTGTCTTACTAACTCTGAAACATCAGTGAAACAAGGATGGGAAAGGGGCCTACAAATCGCATCTGTCTCTTTCTGTCCAACGCATATAATCTGTCGTTTTTTCGAGCCTCTTGCGCACTCTATTCTTATATCTCTATGATCAAAGGAAAAGTGTACGTTACTCTTTGTGGACGATATAGGGTATACTCAATTATTGTAAAAAGACAACATTTTGACGAAATCAACTTGAATGATGTAATCACTGGTTTAACAAATTTGAGACATGCTATGACCCTAGACAATCAGAAACATTGCCGAATGGCCAATTCAGGTGACCTTCTAGGAGCACTTCCTCAAAATAAAATGACGGAGATTTAGCAGGAATATTACGCGGTGGCGATATAAATATCATACTATGCCACAGAAAAATCAAGGTACCACCCTTACAATTGCGCCCCAAGAAAATATCAGAATTTTATGGCAGGCTGATTGGAGGGCATAAAGGTATAACCAAGACCTATAGAAGAATACGTGAGAGGTATTATTGGCCTAGAATGCGAGACTATGTTATAGAGTATATTCGCAAATGCAAGAGTTGTTTGAGAATAAACTCGCCAGAGCACGAACTCGTGAACCTATGCTAATAACGGACACCCCTGCGCAACCCTTTGACAAAGTGTCCCTTGATACCGTGGGAAAACTTCGAACTACTCCCAATGGCAATAGACACATACTAACAATGCAGGACAATTTCAGCAAATATTGCATTGCGGTCCCCATACCAGACATAAAAACAACCACCATTTCCCATGCCATAGCAGCAATCCTCTTTTCTGTATATGGAGCGCCTCGATGCGTCCTTACAGATAGAGGAGGTAGCTTCATAAGCTTTCTAATGCGGAAACTTGAAAGCATCTTTGGGGTAAAACAACTTAAGACTTCCGAATACCGCTCTCAAACTAACGGAGCGTTGGAAAGAAGCCATATTGAATTGACAGATTGTATTAAGCACTACGCTCAAGATTTTGACAATTGGAATCGTGAACTTCCTTTTGCCATGCTCAATTATAACAGGTCGGTTCATGAGGCAACTAACCTAACCCCACTCGAATTAGTTTTTGGACGAGTGGCCCGAATGCCTTCCTCCCAAAAAGTCGTAAGTAAAACTTTAAACTCGTTTTTCTCAAAACTACATTTTTTGTGCTAGCCGGAAACATGACTTTTACAAATCTCAACCGATTTACTTAAAAATTAAACTGTAGCTTCTCAATAACATTATCTAGAGAAAGACGTACGGATTTTTTTTTATGTTGCATATTTTTTTTGTTATAAACAATTTAGTGTCAATTTTTTAAGTAAAAAACTCGGATTTTCCTTAAAATGTTCGCCATTTTTGCAAAAATTAATTTAAAAAAAATCCCCTATGTCTTTCTCTAGCTTTTAAGATGTAAAAATAGAAAGAAATTTGTTTTTTGTTCTAGGATGAAAATTGGAGCTAAAACCTTTCCGGCCGCGACGTGATTCCTCTCAGAAAGGGTTCCTATCACGTGCCTGTAAATTTGATATTTAAAAAAAAATAATTAATGAAGTATATTTTTTTTCTCTTTAAAGTGTACCTAATAAAGATATGTAAACATATTTTTCAGTACATCTAAACTTTTCTTGAAAAAAATTTCTAAAGCTAGGCCTTTTTTTGACGCTCTAGAGTGGTTTAACCCCTTAAAAAGGGTAATTGTATTACCCATACAAAATCTTCAGCCAGTTTAGTTGAAAAAGGATGGAAAAATGTAAAATCGTGGGTGCCATATATAAATTTTATACTTGTACAGCTAACTAAAGTTTCTTTTATTTAAAAAAAACTGTTTTTTTCTTTGCTTGTTTGTCGTTTGCTTTGAGTTTTTTTTACATGAAAACCCACGGGCTATATCTAAAATGAGTTTCAGCACCTTTGGGACAGGTCCTAGCACATTCTCAAGTAAAAGAACAGATAAATCTTGTGGAGGGAGGCTTACGTGGTCTAACCGCCGAACTGCCACTTGGGCCGCCCTCCAAAATTTTGCCAGACATCCTTTCCTACCACTTTGTCAACGGACTGGGTGTAAATGTGCTCTAATGAAACATTGTCACCTGTCTGATGAGTTGTGGGAGTTTTGGGTCAGTGCCTTATTGAGAAAGAAATCCCTCGCGGGAAAACTATGCAAAGATTTTGAACAATAACGGCGATGGGCTAATTCCACCCGATATTAATATAGTCATCGTTATATTCGGCATCTGCTACACTTATTACCACAATTTTTCCTGAAACCAGAAATGATAGAATGATTTTTACTTACCATGTGATGAATCACCGGTCGCTAAATGTTCCTCTCCGTCTTGACCTCAAAAAAATAGTAATTAATTTGTATATATATATATATATATATATATATATATATATAACAGGAGAAGAGAGAAAACTAATCTCGAGAATATATTAATTTTTTTTTTGTTCTTTTCAAGGAAAGAACACAGGTTGCTCAATGCTCTGAAATTAAAAAAAAGAAGAAGAAGAAGGGGGGGGTATAATGAAGACTTTTTTCTTTTATACATATATATTTTCAGTTTCATCTTTATTTTTTTTATCAAAAACAGGGGTTAAAGTAAATTAAAAAAAAGAAAGTTTTGAAACGCGAAAGCGAGGAGAGACAGGGCCCTTCGCCCTAGACCGGGGCGACAACCATTTGGATAATCGGGTCCAAAAGATGACCTTCCCGCCCGATAGCCTCCCAAACCCGACTGACAGGAACGTTGGCCTTCTAAAAAAAAGGAGAGAGGAAAAGTTTGTTTTCTTTTTTTTTATTCTTCATATCTGTCTTATTTTATTTTTATGTCCTTCTTCTATTTTGTAATTTTTTTGTCGTTGTTCTTATAGAATTGTATTTATTTATTTTATTTTTTTTCTCGATCTACTCACCAACTGCCATCTTTCTCGCATTTTGGTCTCACGCCCCCGGGTCCAATAGTGGCATTGGAGGAACGTGACCTGGAACACCTTAGAGACCGGCTGGTATCCTATCTCTAGTGCCACCGGGAATAGAAAACAGAGCGGGCTAAAAAAAAGGAGATAAACTTAGTCCTTTAATTTAACTTATATATAATTTTCGTATGAATTGATACCGGTCACGTAGTGGCGATGACCGCCTCAAGGGTAAAAAAATGCAATAGTGCAAAATATTCCAGAAGTGGTAATGTAGAGAGAAATAAATAAGTGAAAGATAGAAATTCTTCTGAGTTATAAACGCAAAGTTAATGCCAAAACAATATAATAAATTTACAATCGAAGGAGGAAATACGAGGGACGGCAGCCCCCCCTGTTGGAAAAAGGAAAGTTTAAATGAAAGAGAGACAGGGAATTACCAATGAAATATTAATTTATTTAACTCTCTTAATGTCTACATAAGTTGGCGTAATAATACTGAAGGTGTTGTGTTTATTTGGTTCGCTTCAGAATAAGGTAAGGAGATCCATTACAATTTTGGATCGTTTCTTTGGTGGGAATTTAGGGAACTGAGGGTTGAGAAGGATAGCTTCTGGCGTTCCTTCCAGAGAAGTCGGAGTTCTTCCTAAGGGCGACAACAGATCAGGTTGGTTTAAACTGGCGTCCAGAATTCTGTTGATCTCGTCGTCGTCAATCAGGTACTCGATGGCGGGTCGAGGTACTGGCGTTTCCCTTTTCACCCGATTAACTTTGGGGGTCTCTGGTGAACTGGGCGGCGTTGCTGTGCCAGGGCTGAAGAGTCCTCGTGCCGACGGTGGCTGGTCTGACCTTGTCCGTTTGAGCGTCGGCTTGACAACGGCCCGAGGTTTCGGGTAGTTGCAGGAGACGTAATCCCATCGAATCCAGCGCGGTGGAATTGGTCTTACTGTAGTCGGTGGCGGGATTTGACGGGGCATCCAAATGACGATACCAGCAAGGTCTGTCCCCGGGTCGGTATAGTAAACGGATTTTGTTGTTTATTAACAATCTACTTATCCAAAATACTTCATATAGGGCTCGTTGGATGCGGAATTACCTTAACTTTCAATTGGTAAGTTCAGCATTACCA